TACATATAAGCTGCGTCCAAAGGTCAAAAATGCTCAAATTGCATAAAGGTAAACTCAAAATAATTATAAATAAATAAAGTGTCTTTCCAAATCACAAAACAAGATCATAAACAAAGAGACCCAGCTCCAGGCAACTGAAGATCGGGCGAGTGTTACTGATTTCAAATATAGCGCCAGTTGGCACCAGCGATACAAGTAGCTGAAGAACACGAGGCACAACCGGTCTGAGGGACAACGAAACTGTGCTACGCACACCGAACGGACTAGCATACACGCCAGTGTAACTGAAAACATAAAAAATTAATGGTCGATCGGATGTAAAATTCGATGTTACCAATAAGCAATGGCATTTCATTAGCATAAACGACCGCAACGTGTATGAATTCCCGCAATCAACAAGACGATCATGTGCACGAACATGACTGTGGACATCAATACAGCACCGAGAGTAAGCGGTGAGCCATCGGGCAATAATCTAGTACTTATCTCAAAGAAGAGGTGATGCTCGGTAGGTAAGACCCAAGAAGAGCGAAAGAGACTGATAAATCGCAAGCATCCTGCATCTAAATCCGGTCGCCATCAAAAATGTTTCTGACTGTCTTGTAATGCGAGGAAGGAGGCCTTGTGCCTCGCTTCTGTGACCTACATGACCCGTGACATAAATGACACTTTCGTGACAAATCACCCGGATGACAGGAAACCCTCCTTTGCTGGTAGCTGGAGAAATACAATAATGATCAGTCACATTAAGCATAAAACCATTTATTTCTTTTAGAAATAAATCTCATATAATAACCTTAATATGAGTTATGAATACGCTGATCTTTGTAGATTGGAAAATGATAATAAATTTATAAAAATATTTGAGTTGCTTATGGAAATAAGTGAGAAATCAATTACTCTTAACAAAGTTGTAAAAGGTAATTATCTGTTTATATAATAAATGGAGGCTAAATTCTTTTCTGAGATTGAGAAAAATATTGATGTTAAAACAATCAAGGATTTTGAAAAAGAAGTGCGATCAAAAATATATAATGAGATGGAGTCTCTTAGAAAGAAAAATGATAATCTTTCAAGAGTGCTAATGGTTAGTGAATGTGATATGTGGAAAAAAATTAGAAATGAGGAATATTCATGGTTGAGTATAAATAGTGATAAAAAGAAGAAACTTTATAGACTTATTGATATTTACTCAAATTTTGTTGAAATAGTTGATAGTGTTCGAGATTTAAACACAAAAGTTGAGAAGGTTAAATTACTAAAGAATACACCAGTTGATAGTGAATAAAAAAATGATTTAGAGAAATAAAAATAAATAAGATAAGAAAGATGGAAAAAATTATAACTGAATTATTTAAAATAAATGAAACATTAATTATTGAAAAAAATGAGATTAGAAAAAAACTTTTTAAAAATTTTATTAAATTTTATAAAGATATAAATATTAAAGATTCTGATCTTATTTATTTTAACGTAGGAATAAATAATGATAAAGAGTATAAAAATCTTAAAGATGAATATGAAAAAATAAAAAAAATAATATTTTATAATAATGAGATTATAGAGAATATTAATGTTTTAGAAATGGAAAAAATTTTAACTGAATTAATTAAAATAAATGAAACATTAATTATTAAAAAAAATAATATTAAAAAAGAAATTTTTAAAAAATTTATTAATTTTTATGAAAATATAAAAAATGATGAAGATAATCATTTTTTTTATTTTATTTCAACAAAAATTGATGATGAAGAGTATAAAAATCTTATAAAAGAATATGGAAAAATAAAAAATTTAATATTTTATATTAATCAGTTAGAAAAACATTAAATATAATATTTTATTTAATATTATATTTTACCATCAGGAAAGTAATATGAATAAATATTAATTAAATCCTTATCCATTTTTTATTTATCCTCCAAAATAAGCTTTTATAAAATCACTATTGTCATCATCAAAATGAGGTTTATGTATTACATCTAGAATACTATTACCCATCTGTCTCTCAAATAAGTAGTATAAACACCAGTAACCACAAAGTACAGTATTTCGATTTTGTATTTCATCCATTGAGTAAACTATTTGTTTTCCAGAAGTATTAAAATATCTTAATGCTTCATTTGGCATTATTAGTCCAAATGGATCAAAGTACTCAACTACGTTGTCTATATTTCTATAACATACCCAATGAGTACCAGGACCTGTAATATCATCTAGATTAATTATTCCACATTCTTTTCTAATCTTTTTTGGTAGTCTATCACGACTATATATTCCTCTGAAATGTTTAATACCAAGTCTTTTTATCCATTCCATAAGGTCAAA